GTTTTATTATAAAAAAATACTTTCCTCGACTTTTCGGGATATTTCTTTTGTTACAGCGTTTTTCTTTTCATCTTGACTTGACGGCCGACGGCTGTTTGATATAAACAGATTAGAATTTATGGCGAAGATGAAGGTAAATAAAAACATTTGTTTATTGTTAAATGCTTACAGAAACCTCAGTTGTTATTGGGATCAGCCTGTTTTGTTTCTAGGCCAGAGGTTCAATATAAATGCAGGTGTTAAGAAACCTGTTCTCATTAATCAGTTAACAGTTAATAGATCTGATTGTCGATCTTATTACATTCGTTTTGCGGCTTTAATTGCCGTGTTTTGCTTATAATCATCAATTACGGTGTAAACAGAATTCCGACACAAGAAATCCACATTGAAACTGGATTAACAATAAATGTATGCGCATTACGCATTTCTTTTGTTTTAAACATAAATCTTACGGTCTACGTGGGAAGTTATTGTTTTTTCGGTAAACTAAATTTTATGTGTAACGTTAATCGTTAATCCCAGTGCTATGATCTCATGTGATTTGCAATGAAAACATCGATTTAAGAATCTCGATTCGTTCCGACCTTGTTTTGAAACTGATATCGATTTCGATCGAGTTGGTATCGATTCGTTTGATTGAAATCTGCAAGTTATTGGATGATGTTGACTACGGGCATCGATATAATTTGTAAACTGAATATCGAAATGGAACGCGTGGTACACAAGCATCGATCTATTGTTACGACACATTGTTTCACAAACTGAAAGCGATTCGCGTAAAATTTCATTTCATACCCTCATTCAATATGGAAGATATTTTTTTTCTATTTAGTCTTCTGCCATTCGACAAGACAACATATAGGTACAATACTAAACGACAGTATTACATCTTTTAGTTTTTGTAAGTGTAACAACATGGTAAATAAATAGAATTAAATTCGGTTTATTTTTACGATATTTTCTATTACTTACTAATAATCATTTTAATGCGTAAACATTATTCAACAAGCTACGTTTATGTAAATTCACATACACACACACACACACACACACACACACACACACACACACACACAAACACACACTTACAATACATTATCGCAACACAATACTAACATTTCCAATTAGATATGGGTTGAGTACCTATGTATTTCAATACATTTATTATACCGAGAATAATGACTGTTGTTATATTTTTCTTGTCAAATTAATAATAATATCTGCTCAAATATGAAAGTATTGAAACGTCTTCCCTTATTTTCATTTTCAAGGCTCTTTTCACGTCGATTTTGTAAACAGTAAAATATGATTAAGGAGTCCAAAAAAAATCAAGATTCACAAACTGCTGGCGCTGCAGCGCTGTAAAGCAGAAAACAATCAGCGCTTTAAGAACAATTTATCATTTTCTATCGTTGTTTAGAATCTCTCAAGTTAGCCACAGGAAATGGCATTCTGTACTTTCATTAAGCATAAACTATTAAATATATCCTGTTATAAATAGAAGGTATTGACTGTTTCCTATAACAACTTTACTTTATTACTGGAAAATAATATTCATTTAGCTTGCCTAGAGCTTTGTAGTTTTCTTTTTATTTATTCGGATTGTTAGTTTATTATCTACGTTTTTATATTTTGTACTTCGATAGTCAAACAAGACCAAAATAGATGACTCCCTCGGACTTTACCTCAATAAAGAATACAATCGCAAGCCATCATTTTTAGAAATATACAGTGTATCAACGGATAGAATTTTTTTCAAAATTAATTTATGGCATTACTGCTAGCTGTACAATCCCCAAGCGGTCACCAATGTCCGATCTTCACTATAGACCTTATTTTCGATGTTTAGAGACTACTTTTGTATGAACAAATTTTGGGGATTTTCAGTACGATATATCAACGTAACTAAAGATTGAATAATCTTTAGTAAAAGATACTGAGATAAGACAATGACAATGATACATTCAACCTAGTATGTATTTACAGAAGTTTAGACAAGTGCATCAGTTGTGTTGGACATGTGTTATGTATCTGTCAGAATGCAATAGATGTTTGTTATCACAAAGGAACATATGGCATGCCCTTGTCACCATGCCACGCGGCTCTAAGACCTTTTTATGTGCACAAACAAACGATTGAACCTCATGCCATATTTTGTCCTCTTCGAACCATATTTGTCTATACTTTTGTGCCTTTCATTTAGTCATTTTTTTTTTCTTAGTTCAAGAAGCTTGAGTAATAAAGAGAACTGAAACGTTTCAATCCCACGTTAAATAACTAAAATGATATACGAGTGTGGGAATATAAATTTTAGTAGAAGTAGGTTTACAGTTTCATGTCCAAACCAGAAATTTATTCAAATCAAAACTGAACAAGTAATAGGTATAGGACGTTTATTAGCATACATTCTATTTTTTTTTATTTCTAGGTTACCTTACTAGGAGTTCATGACCTCATAGGACTATGTTAAACACTGATAATTAGCAGAAAGCATATCAGCCGTACCACATTACAAATTTTTGTAATTGAATTATGAACTGTATTTCAAAATAGTTGAGTTGCAAATCTATTGTAGAAATGGGATATTAAGTGCTAGAAGTTGTAAAGTCGAACATTATTGAGAGTTCATTGCATTGAATTCAAACTAGACTACAAATGTCAGTGGTTTATGAAAGTATGTCAGATTCATTACTCTAATTGGTTCCTTAATTTAAAATCCTATTGTAATTACAGTACCCGTCGATGATACATACAGTATATAAGTAGTCGTTTTGTATTTTATTGATTTTAACGTTAAACTGCTCTATATAGCCGTAGGACGGTACGGTGACCCTTATTGGTGCTGATGGTGACCACCGGCCTGGTTTATAGCGAGATAGGAGTCCCACTCTACCAAGTCTTTTTTCAATAAGCTAGGCGATTTTAATGTAAATGAATTTTCCTTAGATCGAAGATGTCGTAAACCTGATAATACTTAAACCACTTTATTAATGAATAGTCAGAAAATCCAGACAACTAATTAAAAATGTTATATCATACATACACTCATTTCTGAAAGGATTATTTAGGGTAGACCGTAGAGGTCGCCCCAAAACACTGTTACACAAGTAAATCTAGTTAATGAAAGTCGCTACGTCGCAGATAAAGTAGTTCGGAAAAGGCCACGAGAATTTTAGACATCCCTAATCCAATTGTAATACTGACTGACAGATGTTGCTTGTACAAAATAGAATACTTTCGTTTCTTCGTAGGGTTACCCAAAGAAAATTCTTATTTAATGCAGTATACACGATTCGACAGTTATATTATTAGAAGCCAGGTTCCTAGGCTTCTTACAATTTCAGCATAAACCACATTAATTGTAGATTTGTGCAAACCTTGGTCTGCGGACCGATTGACTGGCTCCACCTTGAAGCAAGGATTTTTAGTCAGTAAGCTCCTAACTCTCCCTTCCCAACGAGTGTTACCTTCGTCACTAGGAAGAGTCATTAAATTATATAATTTAAACTAACTAACTAATTTCTCAAATAAAAATAAAAAGAAATCTCAAATAAACAGAATAAAAGACTGGTGCAAATCCTAAAAATTTAGAAAATATTCCCCTAGAAAGAGAAAATTAAACTAAAGCATGTAATCCTAATTATACTCACGTGAATGTTTACAATAGTGTCTAACATGATGATAATATATTTTACAAGAATTGTTGAAAGACGACAGTATTAAGAATGTTTAAAATATCTTCAATCACTGTCCATGACGTCACAGCTGTCTTTCGGTACATGACCAAGGTTTGTAAACTGTCCCAGCTCATGTTTTGAATTTCACCTGCATAATATCTCAGATGGAGACAGATGTCGGATAATAACTTGGAAACCTGTAGGCAATAACGTTCTTATAATCTGTTCCATTCCAATACAGGATACATTCTCTATAGATTTGAGATTTCCTTTTTTAGAAAAATATCAAGACTATGAAGAAGAGTATGAAATGGTTCAATGATATAAAAAAAGATTAAATATGTATGAACTCTCAGTCATTTGAACCATAACAATAAAATATACCTACCTATCCATTTCGAATTGATTCATAAAAAACGTGTTGTAAATTATATCTCGATAATTGCTTTACTAAGTAGTAACAATCGATTTAAATACAAACATGAAGGACCAAAACATTATGATTTATTGTTTTAGGTTTACATAACTACTTATAGATGGTACAGTGTTGAATGTTAGTCTGACGTTACGTCGAATGTTAATGTTGTATCAGCTGGACAGCTGCTTCAGTTCAACTGAGCAGTAAACAACACGGCACTAGCAGACAAGTCGCTCGCAACCGGTCCACTGACTCCAAAATATCAATAGATCAACTTTCCTTTTTATTCAAGCTCACATCTACTACAACTCTACAAGAACCAACGTATAAATTATAATAATTTTATTTTGATTTTGTTCACAGGTAAATATACCATCTTTCGGCACCACCGCGTCATGTTTCGGTAACTAGAACATCAAACTTCAAAACAAACCATAACTCATATAGAAAATGGTTTCTGCTTATGCGTTTCACCTCTAAAAATGTATCAGTTGCTGGAAATCAAGAGACGTAGCTTGTATGCTAGATGTGTATTCACCGGCGCTTACAGCCGCAGCAAAATCAATGAGGGCGACGGCTGACTCTGCCACATTATTAAATCATGAAACAGCAGCGACACTGACCGCATTTCGGTTCGCAGCCTGCAGCATCCAACACGGGGAAATGCACCTACTTTCTTTCCACTGCAACTAGCGGGCTTTGGCTACAATCACCAGTCCGGGCCCGGTCAAAACAACACATGTTTTTTACTGAAATGCTCTTCATCATCTCTATCCTCTACGTCTTAGAGCTCATATCGGCTCGGCCAGTTTCTATTTAAGTCCTATACACACTGCGCACAATCCCGTTTATTTTTCCGTAGCGAGATGGGTGTACTCGCGGAGCTCGATTAGTCGTCCGTAAGCCACGGCGCGGTCGGGCCGCGTTCGCGGGTGCTCCGTGTACTAAACTGTCGATATTAGTGTGAAATCTGTTTTTTGGAACATGTGCTGTGTTTGATAAAGAAGATGACCGGTGAAATTTGCTGCAACCAAAAATGGTATGCGTTGATTTGTGCGCGTAGCTGAAAGGAGAGATGCACTTGCGTGCTCTACTCTCACTCGAACGGACAAGCACCGGCATGAAGGGCCAACCGGTTTGGTGAGATCTCCTCCCGATCCACACTCTTGTAGAATAGAAAGCCCTTAGCTTAGACCATTCTGTACTTGTCCATCGTTCGCAGTTCGAGCCTTGCTTTACGTTTATTTTTGCTTATCTTTGGAATTTTAGTAAGGAGCATCATGTGTATGTGGATCACGTCGCTTTAGACATTGTTTATATATGAGTTATTTCGCACTTTTCTAATGGAACGTGCGATACATTTATTCTTGTAAACCATCAGCATTGTTTGCAGCATTACATAATTGGAGACACAGACATAAATTTTGGAACTTTTGTAGGCCCATGTAATGTGCGCTTCGCACTTACGATTAGTGTGATTATGCTATTACAAAACTAGTCGCCACAATTATCAGAAGATGTATAAAAGGTGTTTTACGAATTGGTGTATCTATTCATAATCTTGTCATATTTTGCCTTTAATTTAACGCCATTAGGTTTTACGGGTGCGATCAACACTGTTGATGGAATATAAATAATCGAATTACACGGTCACTCTCTTTGATTAGTTTCAAATTATGCTTTGATGTGGTATTCTATTATTTTGCACCGTCCATTAAGGATAATTAATGGTTAGGCTTCCACACCCCGGCTTGTTGCTTGCAAATGGCTGAAAGATGCGAAAGTAGGTGCAGCTTGTTGTGAATAACTTTATAATTTGTAACGCAAACATTGAAGCATCGTGTTTACAAATTATTCTAATGATGCTTATTATGTTTGGTTACTAGATTATAAATAGTTTTAGTATTTTTATCAAACGTAATGTTGCTTCGTAACAAGATATTAACGTCATTGTTTGTTAAACTTAGCCTTAGGAATGGACTATGTAGATATGTTCTTTTACAAACATTTCTACCATATCGTATTGGAGCTATGTTTAATTTACCGAAGAATTTACCAGAGAAATTATTTCTAAACCTTTGTTATGATATAACAAAAAAGATAAGAAGATGAACAAGAAATTAATTTAGAAACATCAAAACGAAGAAATACATCCCAAGTTCTCTTTAAACGCCGAAACAATATCGATGAATGAAAATGGAACCAAACTCGACAATCTCGATTGAACATTCACAAAATGGATTCCCCTCAAAGTAATTCAATTATTTGTATTCAAAGTTCACAACAATTTCTATAACAATTGACATTTCCTTCCTCGTCTTGTGAAAGTACTTGTGAATTGCCAATATCTTCCTGTTTGTTTATTACTAGAGATCTAATAAAATATTTGTGGGAAAATTACAATTATTGTTCAGGTAGCAACTAAGTCAGGTTATTGTCCATCTTCGCGTGCAAGAACTCTTTCAAACAGTCCAACTTTCTCGTTTGACATATTACCAAAACATCTACGTTATGTATGTACCTACCGGGTGAAACACAAATTATGTACAATTATTTGCACGAGTCAATTTTCTCCAAAGGAAAATATATTCGTAATACAATATTCCCAAGATATTATCCTACCTTTTTACCTAGAAAGAAAACACGTTGAATCAACTTAAGCCTTTATTACTTTGCACTACCAATATTGTCCTCTTAGTATTACGCTATCTAATTTATTAAAACCCAGTAAAGTAAGCGAATATCACACATTGCGGGAATCCCTTTATTCGTTTCAAAGTCATATAGTTCACTTTTATTATGTTATAAAATTATTTCACTGTAAAACACAGGCTTTACTCTAAAACCGCTATCGCACATATAACGCTATAAACCGAAATAAATTTTAATGCATATTATAACAACTCGCATAACTTTAAATAATACCGTAAAAAATTACCACGACAACAATAACCAAGGCGTTGGTCCTTATATAGGGCCTTGAGAAACTCCAAACTAATGCCATAAATAATGTGAATTGATGAATCAACACGTACTCTAGTGGTGGAGTTATAATAAGGTTCTCAAACTAGACAAGAAGACCAAACGAATATTGTGTTAGCACGTGCGTGTTCAGGTATTGTGGAGTTGTGGTCACGGTAAGGTGTACTGTACACAACAAACCCACGTGACATTGGCGGCTATCACGTTGCCTTTACAAGTCCTGATCGAATTGAAGTAACAACGCACAATATTCTGTTATTACTTCATTTCGATACGCCAATAGTTATGCAAATCCAAAGAAAGTAAAATGGTATCGGAAGATATTCTGTTTGTCTTCAATATCTTTCCTTAAAGGATGTTGGTATGTTTAATATTCTCAACGTGCACTTTTTGTGTTTTGCGGCTGACGATGACGACAAGAAGGTAAGGAAAGTCCCCTCGATTTATTTATACATTAATAAATGAAATGGATGGATTCAAAGAACTGAATTCGCGAATTTTCGCGCATACCTATCAGTGTTTTATCGATTTCGCAATCAAGTAACATAACGCTCTGATCCTTACGGCCGATTTTTCAGTCATCAGTTAGTTCTTAACTGTAAAATAAAATTGACATTTGACAGTTTTTAGTATGGAAGAATAATTGTCAAATATTCAAAGTAACTCGTCAGAATTTATCTGGCATTGGAAAAATCGGCACTTAATTATGTTAATTTCAGGATACCGAAACTGTTAAAAGTACTATTTTAAATCTGATGATATATAAAAGTGAACTAAAAAAAGCATATTGATATGAAATGTATGACGTAACTTTCTCTCTATCGTAGTAGCATTGCACACGACCACAGTTATCAAATCAAATATAAAATCATTTACCATAGCTATCAACTTTTCATACAATAAATCCGACGGCCATTCCCCAAGTCCGTTCGTACTAGACTTGTGTTGTTGCCAACTTTTCTTACTTTCGTTTACGTCGACAAAGTTGTACTAAAAATTTTTGAGCTACACAGCATAGGTACTGTAGTAAAATTGTCTGGCGATTATTAAAGATATTTTGGTTGTACGTACAAATGCACTTTCTGTACTGTGGTGTGATTTATAAGCTAGCTAGACCAGCGTACTCAAATATCAGTATCTCACTTTCATATCACACCTCAACGGGAGTTCCAAACTGGTTTTGTTATGAAACAGAGCAGTATTCCAATCGTAGGAAGTCAATAATATTGTTGCTATGCCGATTTCAATATTTAACTTGTATCTTCCAAAGTTAATATTTCCTTCGATACCAATGATGCTAAAAGCTTTTCAAGATTTCGCGCAATCCCAATATTGTAAAAATCCTTTTTTTCTTCTTTGTCCGACCAAGAATTCTGTTCGAGAAATACTTGGTAATAAAAATACAAAGGTCTTTTAGATAGGAATGGAAGGGTTTTAATTTAAAACCTTTTTTAATCCCTCCCTATTGTATGTACTAGTAACGTCCTATGTTATCCGATCCCTTATCGACATTCCTTTACGATTTGAATAGCATTCACAAGATACACGTCCATGAACCGTGTGTTAACCTATGCGTCATAAAGGACGCCATAAAACAAGAACAAAATAGAAATATGGAGGGATCCCAAATTGGATAGCCGCGGCCACAAACAAAAACATTTTTTGTTGACTGGATACCCTATTAATTTATGTAACGGTATAGTCTGGCTGTAATAAAACCTTTTTAAACATAGACAAAACAGAAACCTTTTTAGTACATTTTTAAAAATAGAACTCCATTCGCACGAAAGTTGTGAATTAAAAATTGAATTATCTATTGTTCTTTATTCAAACTTATTTCAAATATTCAGAGCGAACAAAAAAGTTTCGTTTAAACTTCTTCAAACTAATTTCAAATTCCCTTGAAGATGAGGGGACGTAATTGCCATTTGTCATCATCAAAGTGATTACAGGAAGAGGGCATTGTAGTGAACCCTTTCTTAGCCGGGTCTCATTAAAATTGTCGACGACACTACCCATTGTTCACTGCATCATGCTTGTGACATTCTACTGTTACGCAATGTACAATTTAAAGTGTTGTAAGACGAAGACACAGTAAATAATCACAGATAAAACAAAGTTCGTATGAAACCTTTTACAGAGATACCGTTATGATGAAAAAAAAGAATTTTTAAATGTGTTCTAATTTTGCATTTTAACATCAAAAGCGGTCTAACATCAATGAAATTTAATTTAAATAAAAGTTGTGGTTTCTCTTTGGTATAAAATGAGTGTGTAACTCGTTATGAGAAAAGTTTCGAGTGTCATGGAACAGGGTTCGCTTTACTGACTGGATTCCCCATAATTTTATGAGATTTTGAAACTTTATTAACATAATTTGACTTCTTTCTTCCCTGAAGTAAGAGAAAATTAATTTCTGGTACATATTTTCATCGTCTATCTCTGTTAATGAGTATATTTCGTCTCATAGATAGAAACTTCTTATTTCAGATACTAAATACCTAGATCATTATAAAAGTTATCACTAACACCAACAAATGAAAATCGTAACAGGCCATCAACAACTTTATTATAATAAACATAAAAGATAAATTCAAATAACTATGTTTATGGATATTAATGTTCTTGGTGGAGACGGCGGAGCGTGGCTTGTAATTGCTGCTATAGCAAAATAGCTAGGTGCTGGTGCTAGGAGCGGTGAGACCCTAATTGTGTTAAACTTGTAGCCACGGTAACTGGTGGACTTCACAGTTATAAATATAAATGATAGGATTTTGCAGCTATGCTACAGGTACAAATGATAGAAGATATTTTCTGGCACTTCACACGTTTTTCTAGGTTTAATCAGATTCGGTAGAATGCCAGTATTTTATGTGGTACGGGACGCCATCTGTCCTTTCGAAGAACAAATAAATTTTTGTCATAGATACTCCTCGTTATCATATAGCTATTATTTATCTGAATTACGTGTTTTCAGTGAGGATCGCGACAAGCAAAAAATATTATTTTTATAAACGGGAAGAGAACGCAATAAGAGAAATAAAATAATGCTGATTG